GAAGCAGTTTTCAATTTACCATGTTTTAGTCATGGGATACTCCTACAGTACTGTATATAACAGGCCTTCAGGGCAGGCCGAAGTCTAAAATACCTATCCATGTACACTAGAGAAGGTGTTTCTGTCTGTAAATGAGTATACAAAATGATACCACTTACTTGTTGCAGTGCATGTAGGTTCTGAGCCTCCAGGTGGGTCACTTGCCTTTTTGCAGATGCTGCTCATGACCCTTTTCTTGAAGCATCTAGGAAGTCCCTGGCATTGCTTGTCTCAAGGGAAGATGGCATTTGGAGAGTGGGTGGTCATGCAGTGACTTAGGAGGACTCAGGACACTGACCTACTGTTGGGGAAGGTTGAAACAGGGCTTAGACAGACTGAAGTAACATCATCAGACTGCAGTCTAGGTGGCAAACTGGCAGACATCCCAACAACTGCAGAGATGGGTTAACACTCCTTTGGAGAAAAAAACACTCACATTTCTGGAAAATGTCACAGGATATTTAATATATACATAACACTGCTATTGCCACCCCTAACCCACCCCCATAATTCCACAATTTGTGAAGTATTTCTTGAAAAATGCCATACATACACAGAAGTGCATAAAGCCTCATTCATCAAGCTTGAATGAATCATCATCCAACTGGCTGTAAGGGATCCACTGCCCAAACCTAAAGCTGGGAGATCAAGATCAGCAAAATATTTAGGTAGCTGACTCCCAGTGCTTTTAGTGAGATCATGATTCCAGACTGCTTGCTTTGGCCATGCAGCAGATGGCGAGAAAAGGTCAGCACCTTGCTGAAGTGATTATTAGAGATTTTAAGCATGTGACATCCTCCTGAATCTTTCATGGCTAATAAGCTATTGATTCTTTCCCTTATGCAGACTAATTAAGTTTCTTGCACGTTACCTGATCATTCTTCAATGTAGCAAGAATGGCCTATCAACTTTGTTAGGTGGTCAGTGTGCCAGGTTTCCCCCCAAAAGGCAATTAGGAAAGCACTCCTTTCTCCATGTTACATAGGACATTTGGAATTAATTAACTATTCAAATTAATTTCTCTGATCTGAATCCAGTTACGACAGGTGTGAGACTGTTAGTGGTAGCTAAAGCAGTAAGTCTTGAGGGAGGTCGTCATTTTCTGTTATGAGAAATAGCAGCACCATTCTGGGACAGATCAAAAATAATAATTCAACTGTGGAGGCCTCCTGGATCGTTTTGCAAGTCAATTACTCTCTAAATGATTAGTTTGGAAAAAGTTATGTGAAAAAGGGAACAGGCCTTCCATTTTAAAGTTATTTGCATGACTCTTGCAAGTTGTTTATTTTCTTTATAGCCTTAGGTGGAAAAAAATTAAGTGTGCTTGAAGTGGGAATTATCCACATTTTTCAGCAAAAGCATAATCACACCACACATTCACAGGGCTCAGGCTTTGAAGCCTGTGAAGTATTCACTTAGTAGGAAGCTTAGGCAAAGCAGCCAACCACTGAAGAGAGGAGAGTTTAAATACTTCTGTTTTTATTGCATCATGGAAAAAATGATCATTTATCTCATTAAGATGGAGAATTTTTACTGGAGAACCCCCACTGGGTTTATAAGCTTGCCTGCTGTGCTGACTGGAGTAACTGAAAGAACAGAGCTGTCCCTTTGCCTGGGGATAGATGTTGGCCTTTGTGGCAAGTTAAGGAAGGTAAATTGGTGACATAGAGTATTTTTTTTTTAAAGTACCTAAGTCTCCCTTGGCTTAAACAGATGGGGCATATAAACCAAATACATGCAACAGCAATTTAGTTCACTTGCAGAAACCTCAGCTATAATAGCTACATATGTGCAGAGAGGACTGGCTCATACCTAGGGCCTGTGACTGAGAATCAAAATAAAGAAACAAACAAACAAAAGTAAATTTTTCTTTCTTAAATTCTTGATATGCCCATGAGAGAAATTGGTAACAGGGGTGCTTTCAAAAGCAGCATAGCCAAAGTTGAATAAATGATACTGAAGCAGCTAAAAAGTGCTTCCCTTAAGACATCTGAAGCCTGTTTCTCTTGACCCTTACATGGAGATGCTTTCTCCCCCAGCTATGTCTGTGTGTTCTCCAGCTGCAAAAGTAGACAGTGGGTATTGTATACCTGGATGTGGTGCTAAGCATCTGAGCTCAGCACTGAGCCTGACAGCTCTGTCCCCAGCCCAATGCCTCATCACATACCACAGCAGCACAGCAGCCAGTGACATTCCTGTGCTAACAACCCTCAGCTCCTTGGTAAATCACTGACAGCTCTTCCTGTCCGACTTTCAAAATTAGAGATTAAATTGCACCTGCATACTTGTTTGCATACACATACATTCTCATAAACCAATTCTAAAATAAGCCTTTTAGAATGCAGTTATTCTGCGATGTTGTTGCCATACAAAATGTGACCACTGAGATAAGGGGCCACCTTGAAGCATTTCCACCCATTGCTGAGACTGGTCAAAGGCTCCAGTGGGGAAAGTTTGCAAATAGTCAGAGTTAATCTCTGCTGTGGCCCTCCACCTCCCAGCTATGGCAGGCCAGAGGCACTTCCCCTGTGAAATGCAAAAGGGCAGGGCTACATCCTCAGGAGTCACTGTGCCCTGTATACATCCCAACCTGCTTTCAAATCCCCTGGGCACAAGTCCGGAGCACTGGCCCAGCACTGCTGGTGGACTCACAATCAAACACCCAAATTCTAACAATTTATGTAAGATAGCTGAAGGTACATTTTGGGTTTGGAAAAACTTGCCTTGTAACATTTATGTTTATCAGAGACTTCAACAACATCTTAAACTCAGCTGTGGCTTCCTTAACCATATTTATATATCCGTAGTTAGATATCTGCACTTCCATATCTGTAAGGTACTTGCCAGCAATGTGGTCAGTGTCTGCAGCTGCCAACGAAAGCTGCATTCCATGGGCTTTGCCTGATATTCCTGGTTGCGGTCTTCCTCTTTCACCCTTACTTTAAAAATTTTAATTCTTCATGAGAAATAAGTTTAATATGAGGAGAGTGGTGCTCATAGGGTGGTGATGATGAAAAAAGGCAATTGGAATGCAAGTTTTAGCTGCATGCTCTTGATAGAAATTGGTTATACAACAGTAATATAGAGAGCTTGCCACATCATTCTGGAGACACTGTTATACTGGGGTGAAGTGTGAAGGTGCTGGTCTCTTAGTTTACCTTCTACCAGCTCCAAGAGGAGTCATTCAGCTGACAGTTCTCAAATCAAACACATATATCTGAGTTTACTGAGCTCGTATAGAGAGAGGAGAGGGGAAGGGAAGGAATGGGAGGGGAGGGGGCAGGAGGGGAGGGAAGGGGGCGGGAAGGGAGGGGAGAAGTTACTTCCTCAGCCAAAATGCTTGGTTCTAATCTAGACTGAGTAAGCATTACTCAGAAGGGCTATTCTTCGGTTTTGCACTTAGATTTTGCAAGATCTGTTGACCTGTGAGGTCTCCAGTTCCTACATGCTACTTGAATGACAAAGTTATCACATACACATTAACAGCAATCTCAAGGGAGCAATCAAAGTTTTCTAGTCCACAGCAGTTAAATGACATTCAACCTTGAAAGTGACATATTTCAGATGTTGAAAAAGCCTACCTTTCTGAAAGTCCATAATGATCCATCCTTTTAAATTGTTTTCAGGTAATACCAATTCATTAATATTCCATTAAGGGTTCATTAATGATTACCCTACTCTGGAACAAGGACTGTAATTTAGTTATGATTACAGGAATGCAATCCCTTTCTGACAATGGCTCTTATTTCCACAATGTTTCAAAAGAATATAAAAACAAATACCTGTAAGATGTATGAAGGATGGCCTCTTACACACAGCTGGGACTTCCTATTCTGCACCTCTCATTTCAGTACAAATCCACCTTTGCTGCTTTGAAGGCAAGTGTACATTTTATGTTGGTTATTCAGTCTAAAAATTATGTATCTCTCTGCTCCTCAGGCAGTTTCAGTGCAGTTCTTTACTACAGTATTTTCAGGCTAACCATCTTCTCCGTTCCCCACCTTTGTATCCAAGGCTTTCCTTGGAAGAGGTATACACATTTCAGCAGAGAAACAACACAGTAGTGTCCCTTTAATATTTCTTCAGTACTACTGAAACACAAACCCAGGTTTGGCTCAGCTTCTCTGGATCTCTTTATAGAGAAGTTAATGTTAATGAACTTTTCATTCTTCAGCTACCTGCGTGCAACCATTTACGAGTTTTTAAAATGAAAATGTGAAATGCAACACTGATGATCAAAGCAGGACTTCTCTGAGCACAACTCCCTCTGGCATCACTTAGAGAACTTTGTTAACACTCAGAGTATGCTTTGACAACACATCCACCTCTACACCTTGTCTTACAGTGAGCAGTTCAAAGCTCAACATGTTACAGGATTTTAAAAACCTGCTCTGCTTTGTAGCTTGCCTTTTGATTTTCTGAAACGCTGCTTTCTGCCCTACCCAAGTCACTTGCCCAGCACTCAAACTTGCTAGTAAAGGGTAAGGCAAGCTCGAGTCCATTCCACTGTGCAAACCCTAAAATATGCTGAGTTTGAGTAAACAATCAGAGAAAGAATCTAAAAAATTTAGCTGGTTGCCACCTAAGTGGCAGAACTGATGTATTTATATGTAAGCACTACTGAATACATTTTTTATTATTGATTCTCCTTTAAGTAATATTAACATAGATCACTCTAAATTATTCTTCCATATTTATACTAAATTTATACTATTTTAACTACTAGAACTTTTTAGTAATGTAGAGCAAAACAAAAAGACATAAACGTCAATACGAACCCCTAAGTTACGTGAATTCATGCAAAACCCATGTATTTGTTTGCAGCCCATTTTATTTCTACCAACCTCACACAACAGACTCCCTAAACCAACACAGGTTCATCTTCTGCTTTAATACAAGGCTGCTGTATTGAGGCTGCTGGTTTCTGATACATCTCCCACAATGAAAGAATGAATGCTAAGTCTTTTTTTACAAGATTTTATTAAAGAATATTCAGTAGCTGTACGAGACAGATTTACAGAACATTACTTAGTTAAAGTGCCATCAGTCAAGGCAAACACACAAACTGAGATTCTTCGGTCTAATCTGGGTGAGGTCTTACAAACTTTGTATGCACACAATTCGTGCCATGCAAAGCCCTATAAAGACCATAATACATCTTGCAACTATCCTTTTAATGAAAACCGAGGTTTCAAGAAACAGCAAGTTCAGTACATATGAAAATAAAAATACAGCTTGCACAACCAACTGTACTTACACATTGAACAGCAGCAACACCACTAAAAATAGCTGACTTTGTGCTTCACAGCAGAACTGCACACGGCTCAACAGTTCTGTTTACTGAACCATGGAGCTGACAGCCTTTAAACAGAACTCAGAGGCCTCAACAATTACAGTGCAAGATATCAGTAAAATTCTTTATTCCATGTATTATTCTGGTGGCTCATAAAAAGACGATAATTCTATTATTAGGACTTATTTTCACATTTTTTACAGAAGTGTTTCACCATCAGTACCTTGCATTTTCCAGGCTGATTACAAGTAGTGGAACATGAGAAATATGCATATATATTGCAAAACACAGTTCTGTTTAGTTTTTATTTGTAAAACATGAGTTTCCAAGCAAATTTAACGAGAAATTACATTCACACCCATAAACTGTATTTCAGACTTTTGTGAATGCCTATCTCTGTTGAAGATTGTCTTTTATTTCAAAACAGTTCCAACATAAACCACTCCCTTATTTCATACTTATTGAGCAACATACTCTGTATTCCCATAGCATTTAAAGTGAGAATTTCACTTTTGTAAAAATGCATTGCATAGTTATCTGCACTGTTTTGCAGACACCCCCTGGCACTTACTTCAATAAGCCAACCATCACTTCACTGATATCCCACAACTTTCTTGCAACCAAGTCATCCATGGCTTTGGGCAGGAGTTCTTCCTCTTTGCAGTCTCCAAAATATTTTCCTGTCACGCCTTCAACATCAGGAGAAGAGGCCAAATAAATAGAAGTCTGGGCTCCTTCCAGAGGTGTTTTGAAGAAAGCCCATGACACCAAGTTGAACAGGGGTTTGGCCAGCAAAGGAATATTCACGTGTCTGCCTAGATTTGTTCTGACAATCCCAGGATGGAGAGAGTTGACGGTGACTCCTGTGCCTTCCAACCGACGGGCTAGCTCCCTTGCAAATAATATATTAGCCAGTTTACTTCGACTGTAACAAAAGCTTTTATTGTAACTTACTTCACTGTTCAAGTCTTCAAAGTTGATCTCTCCATATTTGTAAAGCTTTGAGGATACTACAACAACCCTGCTCGGAGCAGAATTTTTGAGAAGGCCCAGAAGAAGGTTGGTGAGCAAGAAGTGACCCAAGTGGTTTACACCAAATTGCATCTCAAAACCATCCTCCGTCTTCATGTACGGACACTGGAATACCCCTGCATTATTTATCAGAACATCCAGCCTTGACTCCTCCTTTAAATGTGAAAAAAAAAAATCATTCAGTTTTAGAATTGTCATGAAAAACATATTATTACGCTTCATATTTCTCACTGGCCATTGTTAGAAAGAAAAAATTTCATTCCTAGTTTTTTGAATTGTAACTTTCTGATATTCTCTTAAAGCATTGCTGAAAAAAAATCCCTAAGTTGAACTACCACTAAACTGAGTACTTGACCTCAGGAAGATGCATGCACACGAGAGTAGGTTTGTATCAACTTTTAAAGAAAGCAGAGAACACAACCATCTGCTTCTCCAGGAGCAGCTTCTTCTGTAACAATTCCGTGATAATTTACCTTTGTAATGTATTTTTTTCCCCCTCTAAAAAAATAACCTGTCTATTGCACTGCAAAAGGACACACATTAATGTATGGTAAACGTGCTACAGCAGAGGGGTCTACTGAGCAAAAGACATGCAAACATGGAACACAACGTGTTAGCTCAAAGAACTTAACCTCAGGGCTGAAGAGGAACCATTACATTGTAGACCCTCTATCTTACTGGGATGATGTCATGAAAAACTTTTCAAAACAATGTTCTAATGATTTTAAACACTTATCTTACTTTAGAACAAGCACATGTCATTGTGCTCCTTGGTGGCAACTATGGAGCAGGACTCATAGAAAAGTAGGACTCATGTTTCATACAATTTGAGTCCAACAGGTCTACTCAAGAACTAAGGAACCAAAGCTTGAAATATCTATGAGGTGCTCAGCACATGCTATTTGATGGATCAGTATTCTGGTTCAAATCAGTAAAAAACAGACTCAAGGACATACGTTACACTCTACAGAATCAGGGGATACAAGGAATTAACTGAGAGGGTGGTATGGATAATTTAAATATATGCATCATGCACTTCATGCTCCAGAATCCACTCAAAAATTAAGAGCTCTCCGGTTTACCCAAAACTAACTTTTTAAAAAATACAGATTAAAGTAAGCTGCCTAAATCAGCTCCGAATTCAACACTTTCACCCACCTCTGACAAAAGACTGTGAAAGCACCATTTATGCTTGCATGAATCAGAGGCAAATGTATTCACTTTCTCTAGAAAGTGAGTTCTCTTTGCTATTAATTTTTTAAACCCAATGCAGGGACTGGAAGGCAAGCTGAGATAATTTTGGGCCATTTTGATGACAAAAATAGAGAACCTCATAAATGAATTCTGTACTATTTGCCTTTTATTTCACTGCCATTAGCAGCAATGATACAAAGAGAGCAAAACCCAAATCTGCACTTGGCATTCAGTTAAAGGTGCTGGCATTTGATCACTCAAAACTTCAAGTACTTCAATTTCAGACTGATTTCTGCGGGACTTGAGGCTGCTCAGTATTTCATATAATTTGGTCCCTGAGGCATGATCCAAAGAGTGTCAAATTCACTTCTCCTCTTCACCCAAAGGGACACAATGGTCACTAAAGCAGGACAGTAGTGATGAAGTACTGACTGTACATTTGCTTACTGAAGTGATCCTTCTTTCTTTAAAGAAAAATATCTGACTGGAGGATTTATTTTGCAAGACTTAACACTTCAAGAAGCAAGACTTCCACGTGTGCCATTTTCTGAAATTCCTACATTTAACAGGAGTAATGTGATCAATGCCAAACAGGCAGCTACTACAACCAAGTGCAGCAGAGTGCACCAAACACTGCTTTGATGGACAATGCTACCCTTTGCAGTCTCTGAGCTCATGTCCATTTTCTCCATTTTCCCATGGAACTCTCCAACATCTCAAAGTGTTTTAAGATGTAACCACTTTCAGCTTCTCAAAGTAAAGCTCCTACAAATAAGGCCAGTCAGTGGGAACGCAGTTTCCCCATCTTGCCAATGTTTAAATCTTCTTTATGTCAAACAAAAACCAGAAGAATCCCCAAACAAACCTCCAAGTAACAGCTCTGAAAAGGACTCACAGATTAGGGAAGGTAAGTAACGTGGACTTGGCTGGAAAAGCTCTTGAAAGTATTTCTTGAGCTTGCATACCTTGTCATTCAGGCGCTTTTGGAATTATTTCAAAAATGCAAGTTAAAACAAGAGTCTTTACCCAATTCTCACTTAAGAGCCACTTGTACTGTCTTTAGCAATAAAGAGATGCTAACATTTTTTTCATATTTTGTACTATAAAAGATATAATTCTTAGAAGTTAAACAGTATGTTTCATTTTTGGTGTGTGTTTATTATACATGTTTTATATCCTTTTGTGTATTCATGTTTTCCCATAAGACTGAAGGAAGACTAAACCTTATCAGTGGATTCATATATATGAATGTATGACTACAAAGTGTCCCAGTAGAGAATTTAAAACTTGACATTTAAGTTTTAGAAAAACCATTTGAAAATTAATGCAATAAAGTCCCTCTGTTTTTTTGCCTCTCACAACAGTATCTGAGCATCTTTCAAGTACTTAACAAGCACTTCTCTGAGCAGCAGCAGAATTTATTAAGCCTGGCTTCCCATGACTTCGTGTCTCATGGCTTGAGTAGCACCTAGATGTGGTGAGATCAAAGTCCCAAAAGATGCTTTTTGTGGGATGAAATAATGCCTCCAACAGTGCCTCCCCCTGCTCTCTGGTGTCTAATAACACTGTCGAACTCATCTAGTGGCATTTTTGTCAGGCAAAGCAAATGGATGTCCCAGTTCTCCTTAAACTCAGATTTTCAGGAAATCTTCAGGAACTTGATATATTCAAAAATATCTATCGACTAGACTCAGCTGGTGGTGGCCAACAGATGTGAAATTCTTGGGGACAGGGGACAGACAATCTGAGGAGGGGGCAGAAGGATGTCTTGTGCATGCGAACAGTGCACTCGTGAACTTCTATTTTTTTCTGGAGACAAAGCTGAGCTGTAACACCAATGTAAGGCAACAAAGGTTACGGTAGTTAAGAGAGAAAGGAAAACAAATCACTTATCTCACACAGAAACAAGCGCTTCCTTTCCAGAACTGAGAAGGTTTGGTATATTTTGAACTGGAACAGACCAAACCAGTAGGAACTTCATTCTTCCACGCGCTAATTTACGGTCATTTTGCTCACACCCTCCTCCCAGACCCAGCGCTGACCTCGGCGCCATCCCGTGCCCCCACGCCGAGGAACGGCCCCCTCGGACCTGGAACTCCAGGAGCCAACACGGAGCCCAGGGGCCGCCGCCAGCACGGCCCAGCCCGTGCCCTCCCCGGGGCTCCGGGACAGCGCCGTCCCGCCGCGGCCCCGCCGTACCTGCAGGACGCGGTGGCAGAAGGCGCGCACGGAACGAAGCGAGGCCAGGTCCAGCTCCCGGACCACCAACTCGCCCTCGCCCTCTGCCCGCTCGCCCACCTCGGCCCGGATCTCCCGGGCCGCCCGCTCGGCCCGCGCCCTGTCGCGGCAGCCCATGATGACGCGGGCCCGCATCCGCAGCAGCTCGGCCGCCGCGGCCCGGCCCAGCCCGCTGTTGGCGCCGGTGATGATGACGGTCTTGCCCCGCATGGAGCCCGCGGTGAGGGCGCGGGCCGTGCCCCGCAGCCAGCGCCAGGCGGCCGCCAGGAGCCCCGCGCCCAGCGCCAGCGCCGGCAGCGCCGCGGCCATGCCGGGCGGGAGGGCACTGCCCGGGCGGCGCGGCGCCTGCTGGGGCTTGTGGTCCGGGAGGGCTGAGGGAGCCTGCGCTGTGCTCCTCGGTGGCGTAATGTTCCCGCAGCGAGTTTGCTGATCATAGGGAGCTGCGGGGAGTGGCTGGTACGCCTGAACGAAGGGTGCGCTGCCGTTCAGCGAGACCTTGATAGGCTGGAGAGTTGCGCGGAGAGAAACCTAATGAGGTTCAGCAAAGGCAAATGTAGGGTTCCACACCTGGGGAGGAATAACCCCAGCACAGGCTGGGAGCTGACCTACTAGATAGCAGTTCTGCAGAGAAGGACCTGGAAGTCTTGGTGGGTGACAAGTTGACCACGAGCCGGCAGTGTTCCCTGGGGGCCAGAGGGCCAGTGGTATCTTGGGGTGTATCGGGAAGAATGTGGCCAGCAGGTTGAGGCTATTTGAGGAAATGAGTAAGGAACGCGAGAAGAAAACCAGGTGCCTTTCATCAGCTTTCTTGTGACTTGTCTGGACGTGATAACCATCTGCAATAGTAACCTCCCCTGAGCTGTCACATGTGGGTGCTACATGCAGTGTTGTCACATTGCTGCAGTCTAGTCTAAGGTTTCATGACTTCAGCTCATGTTACAGCTGCAGAAACAGATCAGATTTTTCTGGGAGTATCCTTATGTCTTTTCTGGCTGCCTGTCACACTTCTCAGGCACCTTAAGGGCTGTATAGGCGTGACATCTAAACACTCTGAATTTGCTGAGACTTCTTCTATCTTTGTCTTCACCACAGAAAACTCTCTTCGTTCTCAGCTCTTCATTGTGAGCATCATGGTTACACCAAAGGGTATTTTAGCCAGGCCACACCATTGCATCTGCGTGTGATGCAGATGGATTTTGGCATCCTTAACATGGTGTAAGAGCCATCTTGAGGTGTTCTTCCATATGCTCTTCTCACAGTAAATCATATACTAGGTAGTGTTGGAGCCATCCCCACCTCTGCAGTAAGGACCAGGAGAAAGGAACAGTGGTCCCCAATCAAAATAGGAGAACCAGGAAACGCCCTGTTAGAGGAAGAGATTCGTTCTGTAAGACATCCGCGTGGTGGGAGGTGAAGAATCTGCTATTCATCATCTGGCAGTGGAGACTCTGGCAGTCACCTCTGACATACCTAGTACTTCAGAACATTGTGAATGTGTTGGAGAGGTCACTGCCTTGAGGACCCTGCCTGGGTTTGTCGGTCATCAGTCCAGCCTTCAGTGCAAGCAGCATTGTGCTCAGGAGCTCGTGGGTGACAGTGATCAGAAGCTGCTCATCAGCAGGGATGATGACATTCAGATGTTGTTCCCAGATACTCCTGAGCAGGATAACTAGAAATTATTATTTATTCTATGACATTGATCTGCTTCACCAATTTCTCTACCCATCTATTATTGCACCTGAGGTTGCGTTTAGCAATACTGCAGGCCAATGAAAGTTACAGGATCTGGCAGAGGATCCTCTTCAGGGTGTAGAAGCCCTCTGAATCCCAAGTCCTTAGAACAGATCATGATCCAAAACATGTGTTGGAACACATGTGATGATGATAATTTCTGAATTTTCATCTGAAATATTTTGTTTCCTCTAGATGGTTGTTTAACTATGCATGACATGACATGCTAGCCTGGAAACTGCAAGGGTGTCTTAGAGGTGTGAAGGAACTGGGGAACATGGATTTATTATGTCTTAGTAGTTGGTGGAGGATATGTTCTTCTGTAAAAAAAAAAAAAAAAAAAAATAAAGCAAAGTCACCTTCAGAATCTCATTTCTAATATTTTTGTCCATGGGGATTGGTAGCAGTAGGAGACATGCCCATTTGTCTTACCTGGACTCTTCACTATGATGTGGTGCAGGAACCTGGAAGCTAAGAGAACAAAAACTGGCTTTGCCTGATAAAGTTCTTTTTCCACACAGAATTCATCTGTGTTATCATTGATCCTCTTCCAGGTTTTGCCTGGGATGACAGTTTCTTTTTCGTAAGTCTGTCTTACAGTGTTGCAAACTGGATGATATACAGGACAGTCCTCTCTATTCCCCTCTTTCTGTTGTTTTAACTGTGAATGGCTCAGGGTTATGAGGTGCCAGGGCGTAAACTCATGGTATTCTCATGAGCGTGAGAAGCTAGACATTTTTTGTTGTGTTTTCTTGTTGTTGTTTGGTTGTTTGTTTTGCTTTGTGGACTGGAATGTTATTAAGAGACAATTCTCTTCTATGTCTACAAAAATAGAAAACACTTTCCCTCAGCTCCCATCCCATTTCAGAGAATTTCCTTGAAAAAGATTATTTCGGTCCACTAGCCAAGCTGTGCCTTGGAGCAGAAGAAAATAATTTTAACAGGCAGAGACTGCTTGGCAAGCCTGAGTCTCCCCAAACATCCAGATTAGTCCGGAAGGCACTTGTATGAACGAATGAGGCTCCACTCACCCACCATGCTGCCAGCTGGATATGCAGAGAAGCAGCCATCGAGCCTGGGACGGCTGCCTGACAATTAAAAAGCAGTGGATAATCTGAACAAATATCCAAGGATATTTTGCTCAACTAACTTAAAGGAAGCGATTGTGGACCTTAGCATTAACTTCTGAACTTTAATGTCAATTTGAATTCTATGACTAAGAACGTAAATTCTACTGTGTACATTTAATATGTGAACTCTTTTCATGTGTGCCTTAGTGCTGTCAGGAGTGACACTGCAGGAGGGAGTCCTCTAGTACTGCATGTACAGATCAAGAACTGGAAGCTCCTATGTCCTGGCCAGTAGGTTTCATTCTTGCTGTAGGTGCATGATTGATCGGAAATAAAGATAAACATAACAGACCAAATAATTCAGCTTCCAGTTTATTCACTGATTTACATGCTTACCCTGTCAGGCATGAGACTCACCTCTGGACTCCTACAGGGATCAAGGATCCCATTAGACTTTTTCAGTATCAAGACTTAGTTGTTCTGTTCAATGAGAGTCAAGTGCCAGCTTTATGTTTCCCACACCCAACCCCTACTGGTCTAACAATGCATGGATGAAGAATGGCTAATCCATGTTCTGCTTCAACAAGGCAGGACCAGTCTTCCTGAAATTTGCAGCCATGCTTGTGTGGTAAAGGTACACACAAAATTTATATTCCATAGCTAAGAAATATTTTTGAATTCCTTGCAGATTCTGATCTCTCACATAAAAACATCTGCTAATAACATTTTTCATAATATCCATTTGGCAAGGTAATTCTATCCCATCCTGGAAGACAATGACCAGGCCTCAGTTATTCATGTCTTCCTCACCTCCTGGCTGGGCTCGGAAATGTGATACATTTTGGGCACAAAGCCCTTAGCATTTATGGAGTTCCAAGTACACCAGAAATCTGCAGTGCATCCCATCAACAACACATATTAGTGTGAACACGTGAAAACCTTTCCAATGGTTTCTATTTGTGTTTCATGCAGGATCAAGGCTTTTGCCTTTGCTTCCAAAGAACTTTGTGGCTTGGACCCAGAACATTAAAATGATCGCCTATGTTCCTGGGAGGGAAAACATAATTAATGCAATGAAGCTTTCTGCAATAACGAGACAGTTCATCCAGACAAGAGGAACCAAACTTTCTCAGAAGCTAACCTGAGATTCTGGACCAAATTCCCTGAAGAACCACAGATCATCACAAGCCTGATTCACCATTTCTACTCCCACTGCAGAGCACATTCTTTTGGTTTTGTCTCTTCTGGTATAAATATACAGCAACAAAAAAAAAAAGAACAGTTGTTCCACTAGGGAGAGAAAGAGAACAAACACCACCTGACAGATGTTAGTGGTGTCATTTGGATATCAGTTATACAGATAACACTGATACACAGGAACTGAGCATAAAAGAGGTAGAATAGATCTATGGAGTAAATTTGAAGTCATGTAGCAACAGGCACCTGTCCCCTGCAAACCTATTTGAGGTTGCTAAACTGAGTTCACGCAGATAACGAAACAGCTGTAAATCCTAAAGAAATCTAGCTAAAGAAGCAAATAGTTCCATCAACAGTATTATTTCTGGGTGGGTTCTCTGCTGTTACGACGTGTGCTCTAAAGCTTCAGCCTTTGTCCCAGTCAAGATACAGCATCTCAGATTTCTACCAGCTCTGTGAAATCTGCTGGGACTAAGTGAGACCTCTAGCAGCTCTCTCTCAAATTTGGCTGAAAGTGGTCCCTTCTGGTTCGAAACATCAGGAGGATGCTGATTACACAAACTTTACCTAGGAACCCCTAAACCTCTAAAACCCCTGCATAGAAAAATGACAATGTTCTGTAAAGCCAGCTTTATTAAGGTAAGAAAACAATATAGAAAAATGTGTAAACACAAGATCAAGTAAGCTAACATTTTACTGGAAGCTGAAACCTTGTGGTGACAGACCTACTGAACACATATTCAACAAGCAAACCGCAACAGGTAAACAGTTACATGTAAACTGTGTTTTTGTGAACTTCAGAAATGACTGTCAAGAACTAGCATTGCAGCATGAGTTTTCTTATAAATAACCCGTCAACAGTTTTTTAGAGAAAATATAACTGTTCTGTCTCTCAAAATAGCTATAAAAACAGTACAAATCTCTTCCTAATATCAAAACCACAGTGTTAGATCTAGACAGGTAAAAAATCTAAACTGCTTAAGAATTATATTAAAATAACTCCATTAAAAACTTACCTATATTAAAAATATTTATTTTAAAGGCTGTTCTAGTCAGAAGTTGAATTTTTAAACATAGTGCTTACAATACACATATGTAGAGGTTTTCAGACATAACTATTGGTTTATTAAGAGGCTGGCTGAGTTAAGAACTTTATCATTAATGGTGTCATCCAGTCACGAAGATTTGTTGTACTTCTGAGCAACGCCATAGGGAACGTGTGCAGCTATGGTGCCTAATTTCTGTGCTCCTTCAATGTGGAACATCTGGTCATCAAAGAAAATGTGAGGGCGGATTTTCACCAGGATTGGTCCTTTAGGAGCTCCTGCTAGGAAAAGTGCCTCATCAATCTCCAGACCCCAGCTACGGAGAGTCTTCAGCACTCTGGCTCCAGAGCTCGCCGCACTTCTGGCTGTGACCAGGTAGGTCCTTATAGGACAATTTAATCGTTCATTTTTTGCATAGAACTTCTTCTGAATTTTCCCCAGGTCTTCCAGAAAACCCTTCAAAGGGCCCTGAGTATAAAATACCAGAAGCATATTTAGTATTTGTCCACAGTTCCCCAAAACATTCTTTTGCCTTCTTCCAGACTGCCAGTTACACACAGAATTCCTTTCCCTAATGCTACGTTACTCTGCAAATTCTCTGTGTAACATATCCAAATGGGTCTGCACCCTCACTAGGAATTCACACACTGGAAAAAAGTTAAAACCATAATCCTACATGGTATGATCAGTGGGAAAATAATTCTCACTAAGGCGATCTCTTACAATATAAGCTTATTACTATAGTCTTTAGTGTTCCTTTAAAAATACTGAACTCTTTTTACTAAGAACCATGAGCTGCAATTCTTTCTCCTGCACAAAAACCGGATTAATGACCATACTACATTCCAATTAAAAGAAATAAATGACAGTTTGGTTCTTCAAATTGCAATATATTGTACCATTCAGTATTTTCATAAATCAAGCTTTTATTATGAATTTATACTATTTTTAACAATAGCAGAATTCATCCTTCAGTTTAAGCTGATGTTAAAATATTTGTGTTTTTTAGACAAATGGCATAGTTCTGCTTGGGAATAAGTAACCTGTTTCAATAACCAGAGTATCTCAGTGTTAGAAATTAACATTACCTACACAGTCTGATTAAAAAAATAATCCAGGAAATCAGTACTAGTATTTCTTTTTCTAATAATACCATTAAAATACAATTGTAAGTCACTGTCTTATATATGCAGTTCTCGCAGAGAAGTGAGAGATCTGGTGAAAGGACTGCAATGGTGGCCTTTTTTATGTCAAACATGCATTTTAAAGACTATCCTTGAAAAGGAAATAAATTGGGTACTCAGCTTCCACAAAGAACACATACGCACTGGGGAAAGTGGAGAAACACAGCAGCAATGAAAGTCATCAGATCTTTTGGAAACTTACTGATTCAAGAAAATACAAACCTGTGCAAGAGGCTTATTTTCATTCAGCTGTTCATGTTCAAAAAATCTATCTAATCCTTGCTCTTTGACAATCTGTTCTGATTCATCAGAAAAGATAACAGCATCCCCATCAAATGCCACCCTCAGCTGTGTATCCGAGTAAGAAACATCTTTGTTGGCAGTGAACATCGTAGCTGATGCAATGCCTGAAAATGGATCAGAGAACCTCAGTTAGTCCTGCTAAGTCATTCATTAAACCACCAGCAGTTTGGTTCCAACAACTTATTTGTAGTGACCTTTAGGTGTGGTGAGTGGAAATGATCATGAAAGCTAATTAGTAATGGCTGTTCTGTAACACAAATGCATAGAAGCTGTCCCACTGACAAAACTTCTTGGACATTCTTCCTTCCATTTTCACATGGAAGAATGTACAAGAACAGTCCCCAAGGTGTACTGCAAATGAGACAAAGCAGGCAATTCCAAGGAAACCACTCAATCAAACTATTTGCTATTTTTAACTTCTTATGAAACACAGAGGTCGTTTTTTTAAGTCGTACTGAAAAAGATGAGGCTATTCAAATAGAAGTTGAATAGAGGTGGAGATCCCTTTCTTGTTGAATAGGAGAAGACAGAAAGGTGTAGGGTGATTTGGTTGTCATATTAGTAGCCTGAAGGGTCAGAGAGGAACAGTATCATGTGATTTTATTTGATTAAGTAAAAATAAGCGGTAAACTTGCACTGTACAAAGTGGTGCCTTTCTGCATTTGATGAAGCAGCACTACTTTCTGTGAAAGACACACAGTATATTAATTTTTGAACAAGCTAAACAGAGAGATAAGGAAAGTCAATTCAAACCTGCTTCTATAGCTTCTTGCACTTTTTCAGAGTCTGCTGAGAGGTACAGGTTTGTAAGGTATGCAGTCAGGTAACCAATAGGGCTTTGTCCTCCCGTCATACAGAAACGTTCAATTGTTAAGCCTAAAGTAAGAACAGCACAAGGTGTGACTCTGCCTTGACACTGCAAACCTGTAAAAGTAACCTGAGAAAAGGTACACTAGCCTAGCTGACAGTAAACTTAAAAATAAAAATAATCATCGTAATTTCAACAAGTTACACAACTTAAACTGACTAAAATGTTTGATCAATCCATCCTCATTCAAAATTTAGGGAAAAAAATTCCCTCTAAGATGGCAGAGTAACTGCTGTGAAGGTGCATGTCTAGAGAGCATAGATAACAAACATCAAAAAGTTTAAAGACTTAAGATTCACACCTGACATGTTATATCTAGACCATTGGACCAAACTGTTTAATATATCTCACTTGTGCTGACACCCAAAAATAAATATCAAAGCAGCTGTTTTTCCAAGGTCAGAGCAGGAAGAATAAAATTAATTCATATTATTATGCAACAGCTGTCAATTCTACCCGTGAGTATTTATTTTATTCACCATAGTGATTGATGCTGTTTATGAGCCTCACTCCCACTTGGGCATGGTTATTAGTCATCAGGACGATATCAAATCGTTCTTCATCATCAGGGTATAGTTCAAGAAGCCGGGCATTGACATGCTCCAGAGCCTGAAGGATAAAAATGTCGAAGTCAACAGACAAGTGGAATGTGCCTCCTTTTGTTCATCACTGTAGTTTTAGTGACAGAATTGTCTTGAAGGAGAATGTGAAATACCTGATAGCTTAACTTGCTGAACTTGTTTTATTCCTTTCTGCTTTGTTGCTCCCAGTAACCATTTGACTGGTTCATTTGAAAGGAGGCAAATAAGTTTATTTTGTTGAGTTACAGAATTTAACTTTCTTGTGGAAATCCTTTTTCTTAGGACATCATAATCATCCAGAGTAAGTCAATGCACTGTTGATCATTATCACAATCGCTATTAAATTTTTTTCTTGTCCACCTGAAAATTGTTCTTGTGAAATCAAGGAGAAAGTATAAAGGAAAGTATATGTGCAGCTGCTTGTTTTGTGTGCACAAATGTGAATTTGGGTCACATACTTATGCAAAGATTTACTGACACAGTTCAGGTGGTCAGGTGTCAAAGATCGTCCTTAAGTAATGAGTACAAAATCATATCCTGTCATACAAGATTATCCTGACAATTTCTAATTGCAGTACTGAATGAGACAGATTTTGATTTGATATCCCTTTAAAGATAATGGGCCAACATGTTATATCCACAGTCTCGCATTTTTATTTCCTTGACCTTTCATCTGCTCATCTCTGTCTGTATCCATCTGTTCTCTCTTACTTAGAACCTCATCCCTTTGGAGTAAGACCTCCTTTTTGCATTCCTTGAATGGAATGGAATTCTTTGGGATTACAGCAATGAAATCAACAATGAATTATCAAATGAATACAAAGATGGATTGATTTTCGATAAGGTGCTTTAGAAAGTCAGTCCGGTTGTTAAGAACTAAACTACAAATTTAATAATTAAATTCTGGGAATCTCACTTAAAAGCATGGCTATGTGATGTGGGACTGTGCTTAGGAAATTTCTAAGTGAGAGCCCGGTATAAGGCCTAGGAAAAAATCTTGGTATGTGGTCATAACCTACTTCTACTCCTAATAATCTACTACACTGGCAATTTCTTAAATTATTAGGAAGGAGGGGTGAGCAGAGGAGGGGATACCATTTTTTTGTCCATTGCCTGTATACTTTTTACCCTAAGGAGACCCTGGCCTGTGATTACAAATCTTAAGTGCTACAAGCATGAGATCTAATACTTTTAAGTTAGTATTATTCCCTTTTGCCTTCTTTGTCTCCAAGTGGAAAAGATGACTCAACAAACCCGCAGTTCTCCAGCCTAATGATTTCTGTGACTAAGCAATATAAAGAATTCAAACACAAATATCATACTGGAAGGGAATAGAGGTCAAGGTGCATTTAGCTGGGCATAGCTAACAGTTCTGATTTTCAAAGTATGAGGAGTTAAACAGTCAAATCTTGCTTTTAGTTGAAGTGAATCTGACACTGAATTCTAACAAATCTTAAAAACTGACTCTGCTAGTAGGGCAGCTACATATAGGAAAAGAAGCAGTAAATTCCCTCGTCAGCCTATCCTCACTGGTGTACAAAGTGAACTATGACCTCATTTTTATGTTAAAAGCACCCTTAAAGTGCTTCTGCTATCAATACCACTAACAGCTATGCTATATTTACAGCAGCATGTTTTAAAGTCGTGAGACTAAAACTGAATTACTCCAAATCTACTTTTAAAACTTGAGGTGTTCTACCACAACTCTGATGTCAACAAGAATGATTGCTAATTATGATTTCATTAATTTTCTAAAATCACTGTGGGAGAGCTTATCACACAATTCTCAATGGACATAAAATTAACTCTGTACACAGCATTTTTTCAAGTCAGTTCCGCTAAAATCTGTGTTCTTCAAAACCATACATATTTTCAGGTCTTTTCATTTTTTTTTAATTTCTCTTGCTTTCCATGATGGAGGCTGTTTTCCTTGGCCATTTCTCTTATATTGTGCAGTGAAAGTAAAATATTCCATTTCAGTTCTGCTTAAACCCTAACTGTCAACTAGAGAGTGTATTTTTTTCGCTGGTCCTCAAGAACAATTTCCAGGGTGACAACAAAAGCAAGGAAAAATTAAAGCAGAACAAAAGGACTTAATTTCTTAATAATTAGATTAAAACAGAATCATCACTGTTTTGGGTTATTTGTGGGGTTTTTGGGGTGGAGGATGTTGGGTTTTGTCTTTTTGGGTTTGTTAGGTGGGAGGAGGTTGTAAAAAACTTAAAACAATTAGGGGACTATCTTGACTGAAAAAGGTCTTAAAAGGAAAGGTACTTTGTGTGCCTCATGTCCAGCAGAAAGCACAGGTTGCTCCTTACCCACATCTGGGATGTGATGCTGTGAGCCGGGATACAAACTGTGATGCTGAGGGTGCAAGTCTGGTCCCGGTGACGGGAGCAGTACGTGATCTGCCGCAGGCGTGCGGCATTAGTGTCGGCGGGAGGGGAGGGGATGTGAGGAGGAAAGGAAAGGAGAGGGAAGAGGAGAGGGAAGAGAAGCGGTGGCAGGAGGACCGGGGCGCGCAGAGATGCTGAGATGCTGCCGGGCTCCCCCGCCGCAGCGAGCTCACCGCTGGGAGAACAAGTCCCGAAAACGTCTCCCCGGGTCAGGATTATCTCCGCCCAAGGACGCCTCGGGCTCCTCCTCTTCCCGAAATTTGGCCTTGCAGCATCTTCCTCGCCCCGCCGCACTCCACACCCTCCCTTGCCCTGCCGGGCCAGCCCGCCCCGGCTCACCCCCCCCAGCTACCTTGACGAAGTAGAACGCCGGTCCAGGCTTGAGGGTGACGTTCTCGTTGTTTTGCTGGTACTCCACGTACTTCTCCACCCCCTGTTCTTGGTAGATCCGCCTCTCCTCCACCAGGTCGAAGAGGGCTCGGGAGGAGACGGCCACGGTGATGGCGTTCTGGGGCTTGGGCTGCCAAGCGACCGCAGGGTAGCGCTGGCCCGCAGCCCCCGGATCCCCAGCTTTCCCCCGTACCCCAGCTTCCCCTCGGACCCCCAGCTTCCCCTCGAACCCCCAGCTTCCCCTCGGACCCTCAGCCTTCCCCCAAGCCCCCAACCTTACCCCGGACCCTCAACCTCCCCTCGAGTCCCCAGCCTTACCCCGCATCCCCAAGCGCCCCCCCCCTTCATCCCCAGCCCTGGCCTCCGGACCCCCGGCCCGCCCCCACGCACCGGCCGGGGTTTCTTGGTAACCAGGTTGTCGTAGAACGCCTTGGCCGCCGCCCAGTCCTGCTCGGCCTCCTGCAGCCGGGCCTCCGCTGCCTCGCTGGGCTGCGGCGCCTCCGGGCCGGAGCCGCTCATGGTGCCTGGCGCGGCCGGGCTCGGGGCGGGCGGCGGCTGCGGCCGGAGCGGGGACCGGGAAGCGGTGACCGGGAAGCGGTGGCAACAGCGACAGCGGCCGCCCCCGCCCCGCCCCGCCCGGGCAGGGGGAAGGCACCGGCGCTGCCTTTCCCTTTGGCTGTGCCGCGCCCGGGCTCGCCCGGCCCTCTCGCGTCACGGCCCGGCCGGGCCCGCGGCGGTCCGGCCCTCCCCCGGAGCGGAGCAGCACCGGCCCCGTGGGGCAGCGGGGCCGCGGCTTCCCCGCATCCTGCACCCGCCCGCCCGCAGCGTTTCTCCTCGGGGAGTGCGGTGCCCGCGGCGTCCCCGCCCAGCCCACGCCGTTCTCCTCCACAGTATCCGGAGCTACTTGATGTCAGGCAACAGCCTCCAGCACCGAGTTTATCTACAGCGTTAGAGATTTATTATTTAACTGCAGCGGCTTAATTGATTTAACATTAACTGCAACAGATTCCCAGGAGATTTCTTATATAATGTGTTTTAGCAATCGAAATGGGCGTGATGTCCATGACCTGGGGTCCTCTGTTCGACGCAGCAACATGTGGAGTACCTTCAAGAGAAAGCAATTTGGGCAGTGGTGTGGAGGGTGTGTGCAGCACTCGCAAGGAGCTATTCTGGCATGAGGTTGGAGTGGTCTTAAAATCCAGAGTCCCACACACAGCTATGGGCAGCATTTAATACACATCTAATACAGCTGTCTGAAACGGTCCTGTCTGCCTCTGCAGATCACCAGGTGAACCACAGCAAAGATCCCCAAACTGATAAGCTGCAGGAGAGAGTGAGGAAGAAATCGGATTTGCTCCTGAGCCAGTAGAGGATCTGGCACAGCAGACCCACAGACTTTGCAACTGGTCACTCAGTGGGTATCTATGTCATACCTCATGTGATCACCATCCAAAGGGCTCTTAACATTTTGAATGGAGACTCTAAATATTGATTTTGACCCTGCTCACTACCTAATCTTTATCAAATTTTCAGATCTTTCTGCCTTCATCCAGTCTCAAAAAAAGAAAAAAAAAACAAACAACCAAAAACACCAGGATTATTTTTGTAACTTTTGCCCTTTTTTTTTAATGTGGCTTCCTAGTGAAAGGAGGCTTATGTAATTATACCATCTGTCTGTCTTTCCTCATTGATGTTCAGTTGCAAACAAATTTGAAAGAAGGATAAAGATCTCAAAGAGATTTAAATTCTTAAAACCTTTAATGAAAATCAACAACTTGCAATTTGTTACCCTGCTGGGGAAGGGACTTAATTTGCTTGTTCCTCTGCTGTGCAGTAGCGAATGAATACTCCCCTGCCTGATCTGTCAGCTCCAAATCTGCCACATTGCCTGTTGCTCAGATCACCAGGGAGGGACCTAGAAGCAGGGAAGTGGTGAAAATGAGGAGGTTAGAGTAAATGGGAAATGGGAGTTGACCACAGTGGGGAGGGGACCTGGAAATATGAGGGAAAAGGGGAAGTACTGACGGTAGTGTATTAGGAAAACAAATGTGAAAAGACAAGATAGGATCATTGTACAGGCTGGTGTCATGGGAAGCTGTAAAAGATATAACATAAATCTGAACAAACCTAATTTTAGTAACTCTGCTACTGATGGATGTGCTTGTTTTCCTTGAATTTTGATCCTGAATTGATCCTATTTCACTGTGGTGTCTAAGCTCAGAGCTGTAGTGTGTCAAATACTACTGAAAACACCTGCTCCCCTCCACACAGTAAGGTCAGGCTGAGCAGCCAAGCTGAGCCTGGGAAAAGGGTTCAAGCCACAGAACAGCAACTCCTGGTCACAGTCACCATCACTGTCCTGCTCAGAGACTTCAGCACCACTCTTAAGAACATGATCTCTAAGAAGAGGCTATTCTTGGTTAAATTGGTGTGTCCACTGCCCGTGGAGAAAAGGGGAAAAGAAGAGGAGGAATCAGGAACCAGTTCTTTAGTGATTACAGAGCTGAACTGTCATCCTTGCATGAACCTTATTGCCATCTTTGCATGGCAGTACATTTCCCAGAGCCATGCCCGGGTTGGTTGCTTGTCATACTGTGTTCCCCACCACCCTGCATCTACTCAGGAGCAAAATCAGAGCTCCTCAGGTATGTTCTTGGTTTTTATTCCCCCACACACCCCCTGTCCTTCCTGTCCAACCCAAGAAAAGAATCATCACTCATGAAGACTCCTTCTAACCTACACCTGAAAACTTAAAAGATAATGTAAGGGGCCCAAGCAGTGCTGTTGATGTGCTGCTGCTGAAAGCAATTCTATGGTAACAGAAATATTTTGCTTGCCAGACCCACATGGTATCTCTACACAACACTCAGCTGTGTGAACATATGCACTGAGCTGCCATGTCTCTGTTCTGTGCTTGGCTGCCTGCTGCTGACATACCCTCCATTTCCTCTCTGCTGGAGAATGTGAGCTGAGGGTCTGACATGAAAGCTTTCCAGATTCATCACCTTATAAATGAAATCTTGACTTCTCAAATGCAGAATGTAGCAGCCTTATCTACATCTTAAACATGTAGTAATGCCCACGGGGTTCCAGGAAAGAGCTATATCTTGCTTTCACTAAACCTCTTGGGGAGTCTGAGAAATAGGAATGGATCCAAAATTGAATAACTTTGTGGTTTTTGAGCTAAGCTAGAAAGGAAAGGATTTTTCTGCTATCATGCATTAATTTGCAGGGCATTGACATAAAAGAAAAAAAGTGTGTTTGTCTCTTTGTATGTACGTTTTTATAGTAAGCCATGCACATTCTCTGAAGTCTGTTATAAGTATTCAAATTAAAAGAAAGTCCCCCTGCCTGAGCCGATAGTTTTCCTGTTTTAAGAACAGCCACTCAGAGAGACTGATATGTTCCTGTTCAAGAAGGAACTCAAAGTGCATTACTAATAATAAAAACATTATGTTTTTTCCCTCTTTTGATACCTACCTCTATCTGAAAAGATGCGAAATATTTCCAAGTATTTAAAATAATAGAACAGAAGTAAGAGAATTTTTTTTAATGGAAGGACTTTATCTCCCTTTTGGATGTATAGATCCCAGTATGTATTGTGTGTTGTTATATCACAAACGTGTAGACTTGAGAGCCTAACTCTCCCAGAGTCATGTCAGGGGCACTTGAGAGTGCAATTGCATGGACTTTTACTTCATGTATACATTGTGATTTTTCATGCTGAGAGCCCAAGACCCATAGCATAAGTATGGTGTTCCCAGAAGTAAGGAACCTCAGAAGAGCTTTGATCTAGGTCAATCTGCTGTGGCAAAAAGTGTAACAGCACTCACATTACGCCTGACCTGCCAGATTAATTTGGAAAATCCTCTTGTTTGTAGGTGGTATAAGTACTTCTAATGCAATCCTAGAATTTAGGACCTGATTCTTAAAAACAGTTAACAACTGATTTTCTACATGTTTCCTACAAATCCTCCATGTGGATCTCAGGCAATCTATATTCTTTTGTTTGCCTGCCTTCTATTGATCAAATTTAGTCTCATACAGGCAGAAATAAAAAAAGTTGGTTTGTGCCAGAGATGTGCATGGTGAAGCTGCATCATGCCTTGAAGGCACATCTATTTATGAAGAAACCTTCGCATTATGTCATAGTATTCACTTTCCTTTTTCATCTCATGATGCTCTCTAGTTCTCTTTTGGTCCCTCTTCAGCAGTATTTTTCATTCTCTCTTTCTTCCTCTCCTTCCCACCTCTGTGTTTGTGCAAGGGAAACAAGAATGCAAAAACCTGTGGCATCACATGACAATCAAGGCCAACTGCCTTGTGTCTTCTGGCATTACTTTGCTGCTGGTCTTTAATAATATGTTCGTTTGCAACAGCCATACAAATTACTTAGAGACATAGATCTTTTGTTCTTCTGAGATGATCTGTTCCATCTCCATCATTCTGAGCATTACTCATTCCAGTGTTCAAGTGACAGGTTAGGTTACAAGGAAAGCTAATCTAGCACAAGTAGAAAGGAATGCTACATAAGGTTCACTGACCTGTGATCTCTTTTCGCTAAACAATCCAGTTCAATCATTACAATACAAGTTTCACTTCCCCTATTACTGAAGTTTTTTATTCTTTAATCTTGTCAAGGTGAAATCAGAAGACAAGTTTTGTCTTTAGCATTTTGGAGATTTCTTCTCTCTAGAAGACAATTCTTTTTTCCTAGGAAAATACAATCTGTAATAGAACTTCTGGAACTAAACTGTCTTCCTAACTATTCTGAGCTGAGCAACAAATTTTTAGCTTTCTTTACCCCAAGAAAGGCTCACCACATAATTGCAATGTTTAAAAACCAATAAAGAAGAATTCTGAAATTCAGATAAAAATGCTATTTTAATCTAGATACTTACTAAAAAATAGGAAATCAGTACCTTAGCTCCAATGATAAACATGCCTGCCTCATCTAGTAGTTTGCCATAGGGAGAATTGAGAAGCATTCAGTGACTTCTTTAGAGGAGAGCAGGAGTCCAACTCCAAGCAATCCTGGCCATCTTATCAAGAACATGGAATATGACAAATAGGACAACAATACAGTCTTGTTGAAAATCTGTGGTCCGAAAAGGCTCAACAAAAGGCACATATGCTATCAAAAATAATCATATTGTTTGGGTTTTTTTGGGTTAGAAAAGAATCGGTAATAAAGTCATGACTTCTGTGTTAATAAAAAAGAAAATTAATTGCAACAGTATCAATAATAATAGGTTTTGTTATTCAGGGTTTGACTTTGCAGCACTGGAATCCCTCTTTAGGCACTTAGAGAACACAGAGAAAAAATTACATAAATACTACTGAAAAAAAAAGATTATCTGCAGGAGGGTTTGTCCCTGTTCCAAGCTTAAACAGAAGAATATTTTCATTACAAAACAACCACACATAAGATGGAAGGTGGATAAATTATACATACATACTTTATGGGCTTCCTATATCCTACTGAATAAAAAGTACAGTATCATGAAAAATTTTAGATTCAGTTCTATATAATAGAAACAGTTGTCTGAGCATTTTTCATTATGCACTAATTATCTCTTTAATAATAGAAATAACTGGAGGCTCT